CTAAACAACTGCATAAGAGGTGAGTTATCTAAATGTTTGCACCAGAGCAAGTTTTGACAAGGAAAGTGATGCTAAAAAGAAGAGAGAGAAAAATAGGAAATGTTAAACAAAAAACATTGTACTTTGTCTTCCAAATACAATGGTTATCAACACTAAAAACATCCACTGATTAACTGACACGTGCATGGTTTATTTATGCAAACACACACAATCAGATCTTATTATTGGGATTTCTTATTCTAGCTGATTTATACTATTCATGGCAGAGAACTCCAAGCCCCTGTGTCTCCATGGGGTCTTATTCTGTGTAAAATCTGCTAACCCTGTAGTTGAGACCTCTATAAACATGTTCTGAAATACATAGGATTCTTGTACAGTATTGTTTTAATCATTCATATTTCAGAATCATGTTCAATCATTATGGCCTTGGATCTGTTTAAAAAGCACACTGTGAAACAAATCTGGATTTTATGACAACATTGCAGATCTTTATCTCATCATTTGTCACAAGAAAGCAATGGCAACTTGTCTATTCAGTTTGTACTGTCTAATATTTAAATTGGATGTGACAGGTTTTCATGTTTTTCTAATTACTTGAATTTAGAAACAAGGGAGGCATTTATTTCTGACAGACTGGTTTAAAATCCTGTATTATGCAAAACTGACTCTTGAAAGCTTTAAGCTATATTAGAATGTTGTCATCTGTCATGTGGCTCATCAAAAACATACCTGGAGCTGACATTAGTTTATTTCACACATATTTGAGTAACCCTTTGTTATTTGTCTGTCTTCATCTCTAAATCTCAAAGTGAAATTAACAAAATGATTATATACATGCATCCCGAATTTCAGACTTCAGGTCATCGCGCAATGCATACTGGGAAGAATTTTCCAAAAAAGTGATCATCAAACTGCCATGTTTGTTTTCCCAGTGGGATGCGTCTATTGACAAAGCCGATCTTTTCTAGTCTTTTGAACCATATCGCTTTTGTTTCTGGTTCTGATATTGTCATATTTTAGTTTTGGGATTCGGACATCGTAATTGTGTGGTTGCTGGATGTCCTAACACCGGAAAATGGCGCGAGAAATGGGCTTCGGAAGTTTGTGAACTCCATAAATGCAAAACAGAATCAGATCTGTGTGAATCTATGTGAAACCTCTGTTAAAACTATTTCCCTTCCCAACGGAACTGAAAAATAGTGAAAGGCGAAGGCGATGGGCAGTATTGATACACAGGAAAGATGAAAAAGGTAACCTTTGGCTGCCTAAGAAATCATACCAAGTTTGCAGCGAACATTTTGTATGTGGAGCGCCATCAAAGCGGGATCCCGTTTAAGAGAGAGGTGCAGAAGACAAAAAGGCTGAGCTCACACTTTCTTGTTCTTGTGGTTTTACAGCAACATCACATCTTGGTCGTTTTGCAGTGGAAGGTGTTTCTTGGTGAACAGCTGATGCTTTTTGCTTTAGCGTTGACTTTTTAAATTCGTAACCAAGGTTGAGCGCTCCACACACAAAACGTTCACTGCAAACCCAGGATAATTTCTTAGGCAGCCAAAGGTTACCTTTTTCGCCCTTACTGTGTATCAATACTGCCCATCGCCTTCGCCTTTCACTGTTTCTCAATTCTGTTGGGAAGGGAAACAGTTTGAACGGAGGTTTGTAGTCACACAGATCTGATTCCCTTTTGCATTTATGGAGTTCGCAAACTTCCAAATCACATTTCTCAAGCCATTTTCTGCTGTTAGGACATCCAGCAACCACACAATTACTATGTTTGAATCCCAAAACTAAAATATGACAATATCAGAACCAGAAACAAAAGCGATATGGTTCAAAAGACTTGAAAAGATCGGCTTTGTCAATAGACGCATCCCAATGGGAAAACAAACATGGCAGTTTGATGCTCACCTTTTCGGAAAATCCTTCCCAGTATGCATTGCGCAATGATCGGAAGTCCGAAAATCATGATGCATGTGTTGAAGGTGTATGGGATTTGACAACACAGTGGAGCACTTCCTGCATCACCACATGACATCACAAGGTGGAACAGAAGGTTATCAGTTTGAAAGAAGAACTCATGCTAAATATGTAGGGTTTGTGTGTTAAATATGAGTGAATGGAAAAAAAAAACACAGATATGTTTGTGATGAGGAAACAACATTAGAAACAGATCAGAAAATAGTGTAATATGGGACCTTTAACATTATGGTTGGTAGTTACGTAGAATTACCTGTACATATCTCATATCTGCTCCCCATGTCTAACCAGGAAGTAAAATGGTAAACATCACCAAAATTAAAGAGGGTATTACACATTTATGGTGTATTAATTGACAACACATAACATATTTAGATTACTATGTTACATCGTAATGCTATATTTGCCAAAAAAACAACATATGCAAATGTATAATTCGTTTTTGTTTTCTTTTTGATGCTCTGACTCCCCCGACTTACCTTTGCTCCCCAAACTAAGTCACACCCCTTTCAGAGAGCTACCCCAACACAATCACCGTGCATAATGAAACTACTGCACATCGCCTCAGGTTTGTGAAGTTGTAGTATAGTTGAATCATGTTTTTGTATATTTATATGTATAGGCTTGAACTGCTAATTGTAACGAGGGTTCAAGTAGTGCCTGGTAGAGATCACGAGATTACTCAAACCTGCACAGATCACTTCAGGCATGTTTTTGATGAGGGAAAACTTTATAGCCAAAGACTGTATAAAGAAGTGGACTAAGGAAATGTGACGTCACCCATAGCAGTCGGCTCCAGTCAAATGAAGCTCACAAGGCTAGCAGTTAAAGAAGCAAATTTGGAGCCAAGTTATATATTAGAAAATAGCAAAATCATAATAAAACTAGGATCATGTAGATTTTTCAATGTAAAGGCAATTGGAAAACAGATTCGATGGAGCCGGAAGCACCCCCATGCTCACTTCCTATTTGGAATGTGACGGCAAGCAGGTTAGCTATGTCCATTTATATATACCAGGGTTTGGTTATAACAGAAAGCTCCAAATGTAGTCGAATTTGCATTATACCCCCTCTTTAAATAACTCAAAAAAGTAGGTAATATTTATAGTAAAATCTTAATTATATCTGCCATATGCAATTTAAACGCTAACATTATGTGAACTTCTGTATGTATTCCAGGCTATAGGGCAATGGGCCAAGATCTGTCGCGCCCGCTACTCGCATCATTGATTCTGTACTGTAAGCATTGTAAACGTCCATTCACGGGGATAGGAAAAGCACACAGCCGTACAGTTAAAGGTGTTGACAGAAATATGCGGCCAATATATGTAGCATGTCAAGTCCGATCAACACCAGCAGGGAGGTTACTGGAAGGATTTATTTAAAGTAGGCATGATACGATATGGGTTTCTTTCAGCCGATACGATATCACTTATTTGTCTTGCTGTATTTGTTCATTTTACATCGCATTTTCTCAAGTAATAACTAATATAAAAGCTAATGACAGGTCACCTCTATCATCCAATCAGAAACATTTACTAAGAATCATGGGAAACCAAATGCCTGACACTATCCTAGACACTTGATTCTCGTCACGGTGCATTTTCAATAGTAACAAAAAACAGATGATATGTCCAATATTTGTGTGAATTTGTGCATCGTTTAAAGGTAACATTATACAAAGAAGAAGGCTAAGGTCTCTTTTGACAGGACGGTGATACAAGAACACAAGCAAGTTCTTGGGCAGTGTGACTACAAATGAATAATGAGTCTTGTTTTTCAAAATGGTCTTCAATGTAGAGATATTTAGTTTGACACCCTCTCTGTAACGGAATCACGTATTCCTTCCCAGGAAAACTATGTTTCTCTGTGTTTTTAAAATCCATACTTTAGCATTGGGCTGATTTTAGCGCTCATGCTAGCAAACCTTCTGTTTTAGCGGCAAATACAGCAGCTCACATGGTGAACTGTTGCCAGCAGATGGGGCAGTTCTTTTTCATCTAACCTGTGATCAAAGTTAAAGGATGGTTTAACAAAGTTTATCATGGCCTTTTATACATTACTCTGCCCTCTTCTGGAAACACTGGGGAGTGGCTAGAGCATTAGAAACCTGTTCAATCATCAAACATATTTTGATAATATTATTTCCAATTATTTCAATAATGTCTCCTCGGTCATTTTTTCCTGAAAATGATGATGTACCTCAAATCTGTACTGCATACTCTACTGGAAACAGTGGGAGTGAGCCATATCCATCGAGAATTGTATGATTAAATCATTATTGTAATAGAGCCTATTGATGGCAAACTCCCTTATTTCACAATTTTCTGAGTAGGATACAAAGCTCACTTTTCTAACACTTTAATGAGGAAAACTGAATGGTAGATGATATTGTCATGGACAGGTAATGTTGAAAGATGAATAGGCCATAATGGTTGCACACTTACACAATGCACACTCTAAATCTGACTGTTGTCAGATTTTTGGAGTTAAAATATTATTAAGATGACATGTGATAAGCAAAACCACAGAATTTCTTTCTGATCATGGTTTCTCTGATTACTCACATGTAATTTTCATGGCATTTCAATCACAGTAAAGGTCCAGAAATCAGATCATAATCAGACACAAAGCCATTGTATGATCACCATTACATTTTTGTTTTCATAAAGTTTCACTGAAATGATTTATCTTTCCATATCTGCTCACACATCCACTGATAAAATAGGCTTCAAAAGTTGGACACGTTACAAAGAACTAAATAAATGTTCGCCTTTGAATATCTTATCTTTAAAAAAAAAAGTACTGTCTTCTAAAAATGAATTCTTATTTTGTACAGCAAAACAAAAACTTTCCCATTAATTCAGTTTATTCAGCCCATGAGACCCACGTGTTGGCTCTTCGCTAAATGTGTGAGAGTTGCCATTCCCAGTCACATCATTTCACCTTCTACTAGCCAAATCACAGTGCGTAAAAACCCGCAAAAACTTGACACTTTGCAGCATTTTCGCGTTCAAACTTACCCGCAAACATGGACATGACGAGCAATCCCAAAACAAGCGTGTAAATCCACATTGCGTCAGCCCAGGACATCGTACGTAAAAAATAAATAAATAAAACAAGGGAAAAATAATACCACGAGTGAGTGAGAGTTACGTATAGCGCGCAGCGGTCGTGCGTTCCGTAGAACTGGTCTCTCCACACTGCGCGGAGGATGCCACTCGTCTCCTAAGTAAGCTCCCTCCTCCTCCTCCTCTCTTTTTCTATTCCCCTCTCTCTCTCTCTCTTTCTCTCAACTTTCCCTCGCTCGTATCTGGCCCATCTATCCTGCGTCGTTCCGTCGGTCAGCACGCGTCACAGATCCCCGTAATTGGCGTTAAAGTCCAAAGAAATTCACTCGTGTCAGTCCAGGAATTGGCGTATCGTTTCTGTGTACACGAACTGTGCTGTCAAGGGTAGGATTACGAGCAGCATAAACAACATGTAAAAATGATACGGAGAAGCGTGAAAAGTTTTTTAAGGAACGCATGCAAATCGGATTATTTTTAGTCTTTAACCAAGTTGTAACAATCCGCATTAAAGGGCCTATATTACGCTACTTTCTGATCCATTCGATAATGATTCACTGAAAAACATGCCTGGAGTTGTGTTATGTTTGATTCACACATGTTTTAACACACACACACACACACAAAAATGCATTTTTTGGCTGTGTTCTCTCAAACTGAAAACACTCCACCTTGTGATGTCATGTGGTAATACAGAAAGTGTTCTACTGTGTTTTTAGACTCCATACATCTTGACTAGAATCGTTTGAATGATTTTAGCCCAGGTCATCTCTACAGAACAAAAGGTAAAAAGTAGCACTTAACTGTATTACATCACAGCGCATTTTGAACGTTGGAGACAGACTAATAATAAAGTGAAACAACACCTGGTATGTTTTGGAGGAAGTAACAACATTTAAACATTCTTGTCTTAAATTTTCACAGTAAATGTTGTGTAATATAGGAACTTTAATTTGTTAATTAGCTTTCAAAATTATCAATTAGTGTCAATATTATCATTTATCTTGTATAGTTTATTCAGCAATATATTGCTAGAAGGGAAAACGTGCAGTTAGAAAGCTCTTACAAATTCATTTCACACAATTTTTTGATTGACACAAACTGCTTCACTCCTCAGTGCAAAAGCAAATGAGTCCTTGTGCTCTCTCTGACATTTTGACAATTTAAATGCCCATTTTGTATTGTTTGTCTCATGGAATGTTGTTCAAAACGACCTTTTTTATGTTTGTCATGTCAAACTGTGGTTTCCTTGTTCAGACAGAGTTTTGTTTCCGAAGAATTTCACATATTTAGCCTGTTATGAGCTGAAAGTTAGTCCCTTGGGACCTGAGGGTCATACACACATGGTAATTCTCAGTTAACTGCAGGTGTAACATTTGCTGAAAGAAAAAATAACCAGCCATTCACTTCCACGAAACATTTCATCTGAACACAAACTTTTGATATTTGCCACTCTAAGACTAAAATGAAGCCACTATGTAACATTTCTGGTGTTATTCCTTAGCCTGAAACTTGATGCATGTATTTAATTATGAAACTTATAATTTAAAGGTAAATTTTTACTGTGTGGGCTGGCCTCTCTGTAAATCAGACATGCAATTTGGCCTGGAGGTGTCACATTCTTGTCTCCCTGAGGATAGATAGGCAGACAAGCAGGTGACAGACCCTCAACCAGAAAACTTACAGTGCAATATAGGTTAATATACTGTATATTGCATCAATGAATATCACGATAATGCTATTACAATATGCTATTACACTTTGTAGTTTTGTTCTCCCTGTATCCAATGTTTTTTTCCATGTATTTGAGCAAAACATGTTTTGCCCCAGCACAGATATATACTGTATAAGTAGCTCTATGCTGTCTGTGTGCATCTAATTATAAAGCATTTTTGTCAGAGATCAGGAAGTGCGTGGTTAGCTTATAAACTCATCAGTGAATAATTAGGATGGCCGGAATGCAGTGAGTGAGGAATCATTTGGACTACCACTGCAAACTCTTTAAAATGAACTAGTTCTGTTTTTCATGTTTTTAGGACAAATCAGGTATACCTAAAAAAACAAACAAAAAACTACTGTTATATATATATTTTTGCTTCCGTTTTCAGACAGACAGTTTGAGTTTATCATGCCTTAAAACAGGAGCGATTAGATTCTCCTGATTCACAGCTCACCGGATATGCCATAAGTGAAATATTAGTTTGAAACATAAAAGTTTGACAGTGACAAACGACTGAACTGTGAATGAGCATATTCTCTAATGGAATGAATTGTCTAATAACAGACAGGAACTGTCACCCAAAGTAGGTCTGCTTATAAATATTCTCATTGGTTCATTGGTTGAAATGAGAACATTTCAACCAACTTGTTTGACACCTCTAAGCTATAGGATGGGACTGAACTTTTTCTTTATTGAAGCTGCTAGTTTGCTCCCTCTTGCTACAAATACTTGTTGGCCAGGCCCCAGCTGCACTGCTCAGTGTGAAATTCAGTTTTTAGAGCTGACGTCATAAACTTAGCATCTGGGCACTCCAAGCTCTTCAAGATAAGTAGCATACTTGTGACCAAGATCTTGGGTCAAGAACTGGAGATGGATCCCCAATACCAACTCAGAACAAATTGGGATTTCGATGCTGTGAATAAACCTATATGTCATTTTTAAAGCTAGGCCCCAATTTTGGACATTTTAGAGGTATAGACGGACAGACAGACAGACAGACAGACAGTGTGTCCAGCAGCGTCCACGGGGAGGTCTTCTAAGCTGCATTCTTCCTCTGCTTTGTTGCTTCAGTTGGTGATAAAATGGGTCATTCCCTTAAAGTATTTCCTCTGGAAGGCCTTATGCTACCTTTGCTGCCACATTTGGTGTAAAAAAGTTTTTAGTATCTCAAAAGCCCATAGCCTGCAGCACAGTGAACTGATCCATCTGTGGGTGCTGCACTGGCCAGATGCCCGGGTGCATCGGTTGAAGAATGGAGTATGTTTTTTCTTACGAGTCATATAACGTCTACAAAACCACAGTTGTTTGAAAAAAAATCTAATACACAAAATTGTGGAATACCATCACCAGTATTTAGTAGGTTGCAGACATGGGTGCACTTTAGCTCTTTGACCTACTAAGGATGGCACATTACGTGAGACAATAGAAAAGCATTGTTCTTGCCAGAATTGAGCCAATTCAGAACTACCACATTTATTCTCATTGCACTTTTGTGTTTAACCTTTTGTTTGTCATGGAATGTTGACAGATTAAGTCCTAGTCAAGTAAATAAGTATTAAGCAATAAGTCTCATGTCGTTTGAACTCTAAATAGCTTTAGCAGTGTTCTTAAAGGTGCACTAGGTAACTTTTCTGGTGGAAGATGTACCACCAGCTTGTCTCCATGGAGATGTAATCTCTCTGCCTGGAATGTTCCACAGTAAACTTACTATGTTCATGGTCAGATGCAACCCTGCTCCCAGTAAAAACATTCAGTTGCATTTACTTGAGTAACTTTCAAATACATTGTACTTTTCAGAGTACATTGAGTACATTTCTAGTAGCATAATTTTACTCCTACTTGACTAATATTTTTTTACTGAATTCACAGCATTTTAAGTCGAGTAAAATCTGTGGTTACTCTTCCCACTGTGTGACAGAAGTGACAAAAGCTTTATATTTTTCAATATTAAATGATCAGAGCTTTTGTGACTTTTTTAACATAGTTTTAATTTTAAATGTCGTCTAGTGCTTTATTCTATATGCATCCATCTCTTTCTGTCACTTTTCCCAACCACTCAATTTATAGTTCTGGTGCCCTGGTCCAAGTCCACTCAGCAGTCAGAGCATATTGGCAGTGCTGTTGATGGAGGAGATTCACAGGGCATTGAAAGCTTAATATGAGGCTGACATTTTGCTGAAGTTAATCCAGTGGGCGGATGATGACCTGACGAGACAAACCCATCTGTCTTCACTTGGGGTTTACAACAGGCAAAATGAAACAGTTTTGCTAACATCTGATGGACCAATCACAGGTTTTGAGTTATTACAAGCAGTATGTTAAGCAAATAGTTTAGGATTTTATCATTTTCATCATGATACAAAGTGATGATCATGATCATCATCTGTTAAATCATGATATATTTAACCCTTTTGCACATTTTGCTGTTAAACTGTATCTGCAGGACTAAAAGGGAGCAGTGTGATTGGTCTAACAGGTATCCACACTTCAAACTCTGCCCCTGCAGCCAGGTGTTGGCTGTAATCAGAGTAGTCCTGCGTGATGCCACCAAGCACTTGAAATTGCAAATTGTTGCAAATTTGTACTGTAAGTCAATGCTATTCAACAGTGACGTGCGGTGAGGTTTACTGCGGTAGGCTCAAAAATGTTAATGGAAACTAAACTGCTTATATTTTCTTTACAAACACAAAAATCACATTTACTAATAAATGCATTAAGCGTTGATGATTTTTTTTTTGGTTGAAGGTGAAGAAGAGAAAAAAATTTAACACAAGACTTGAACTCCGATTGTCCACACTAAAGTTAAGCAATTCAACCATTTGAGCTAAACTCCATTATGCCAACAATGTTTTGGTTGCTTACTGAGCATTCCTGTAAATAATTTGTGGACAGAATCTCCACATTAGGACTATAGTTAATGTGTCTGCTAATGATTTCTTTAGTTGTAAAAAGGCCCAGTTAAACTGTGCAGTGAAATTTGACACAGTCTATTTTAAACTTAGAGTCCATATTTCTGTAGTGAATTTGTGGTGTAATCCTCCATTCATTTGTCATTCGAGGTTTCATAGTTGTTCATCTGGACTGTTTTTGCAATTGAGGCACTGCATCTCCCATCCAGAAGCCATTTTTAATTGATGGAACTGGCTTGAAACACTAGGAATTTATCTTACTTTAAGTTACTAAGTCTACCAGCAAAGGGAAGAGTGTTAGGGTGCTTTCTCATCTGGTTCGACTGGGGACTAAAGCTGACTTCACAAACTACAAGTGGGCATACTAACGGAGTTATGACAGGTTTATTATGACTGTCTGAGAAGTAAAGACACGGATCCAGGTAACATGACTGTACAGGACACTAGAGTATGAGAATATAGCAAAGGAGAAAATTCAATTCTGTCAGTTGGACAAAAATGTTTTTGATCATTTCGC